CCTAAGCAATCTATCATAACTCTAAAAGTAGCAGCTCCAAAAATCCGATCATCAAATCATGCGATCGAAATCCATTTCTTCGCGATCAGACTCAGCTCACTTCTTCCTTTAAGCTTCCTCTCTTTTCTTCGATTCTACAAAACATCAAAAAATGTAATCTTATCACATAATGTATTAAGAATAAAAAAATAGGAACTTACAAAGTTAGTTAATGGATTTTAACTGAAGTAGAGTCATACGTCTTGACTCTCCCATCTCTTAGATCTCTCAGGTAGACAGGGCAGCTTCGTCTCCAATGCCCCTTCTCTTGGCAATAAAAGCAAATTGACTCTTTTGGAATAGCACACGAAACTACCTCAGACTTTGCCTTTCTCTTATGGTCAAACGTTTTGACCATGACATGCCTTTCGTTGCCATTGCCTATGTCCATGGAGGTTTGGAAGGCAGATCTACCAATCAACTTTGCTTCTCCAGTGCGCCAAATCATTTCTGATTCAGCAGCAACAAGCAAATAGGTGAGATCGATGAGGGTCACGTCGTGGTCCATCATATAGTACTCTCTTACGAACTCACTATATGAGTCAGGAAGCGATTGAAGAACCCAATCAATAGCCAGCTTCTCACAGACAACGACTCCCAACATTCTTAACTTGTCAATGTGCGACTTCATCTTTAAGACGTGTGCACACACTGACTTTCCTTCTTCGTGTTTACTTGCCAAAAGGGCTTGAGTGAGCTTGAACTTTTCAAACCTTCGAACTTGTGGGTCAGGGAGAACAATAGGAGGAGGTGGAGGAAGTGAAAAATGATCTCTTGTTCCTCGATCGAATCGCGGAATATCATCTTCATGGGGAAAGCTTGTTCCAAGGGATTTAGGAAGACCATAGTTAGAATCAGACATCTACAAAACGGGAGAAAATTCAAGTCAGTTGATTGAGTCCTTAATAAAACACCCAAATGAGATATTAATGCTAGGATCCAACACAATGTTCTACAATTTGGAAGAGGGATGCCGTAATCCAAATTGCAGAACATTTGAAGGTAGGTAAATGACGATTTACCAATTTCCACCATGAAAAACAAAAAGGAAATTTAAGTTTTAAATGAATTGAAACTCCTAGATCTTTTGAGATTCATTGAACTTTTCAATGTCATGTTTAAATCTCGATTGTGCCCTTCATTTGTGACTGAGATGCCGAGGATCACAAATAAGGTGTGGATAACCATGCAAATTAGCTCGGTACTCTCGATGTTACGAATCACCTAATCAATGTGTCGGTTAACCACACACGCTCCATTGATCTATGATAAACATCAAGCTACCAATTTTCATCCTTCATTGGTCCCATATTAGTGTGCCAGTTAACCACACACGCTCCACTAATCGACCAATAAGGGTGCAATGTGCAATTTCATGGATTAGCACCAATTCCACATTTTTCCTAAAGTAACTAAGATTTGGGAATTTATAAAAGTGTTTAGTTACTTCGTTTTTCATTATACTTATAATGGAAGGTTGTGTCCTATCCTACCCGTTCGGCTAACGACCCTCCACTAGTCAAGAGTGCCGTGGGTAAGAGTGGATACCCATTCAATCGCCATTTTATAGGCAATTTCCTTAAGCACCCCTTATAGACCAGCTTCGTGAATGAGGCCTACTAACGGTAAGACTGACTCTTTTACTTATACATATATAATATATTAGACTTTTAATTTTATATAGTATAAGGGTGTATTTTAAACTTTTAAAATACTAGGGTTTTTTTAATTTTATTAAAATTTTCAAAAATTAAAACCATTTAATTTAAAATCTTAAAATTTAAAAAACCTTTGATTTAATAATTATTCAAAAATTAAACGATTAATTAAATTATTACATCAAATAAGGATTACCAATTTAAATTAAACATATTAACTTAATTTAATCCTTTGTCCATGGATTTCGAAATTTAGGTAGGGATATCTTTAATTATCCAATTAAACAATTTACAAGATATCAACCTACTAACTTATTCATTAGATTTCGAAATCTTCTACTTGGAGTGGAAGGCAAGGCTTTCAACCTTACCAAAAAATCAAAAAAAAAAAACTAGGGTTAGGAAACCCTAGATTTCGACTCCAAGGTGGCCAAAGGAAAGGGTTTGAAACTCCTTAGGGATTTTCGAAAAACAGGGTTATAAAACCCTAATTTGCGAAAATTTAAAGGCATTAGGGTTTAATGGCCATAAACTCTAATTTTGTCTAGTTCAATCAATTGTACCAAATCTAATTGAAAACAAAAACCATACGTTCTGATACCACTGATGGGTTTTATACAAAACAAACAATCATATGTGTGCATGCAACCCTAATTTGAGGATCTATGTTTTCACTATTAGACATACAAGCATTGAACACAAAAACTAGAAACCCTGGCACATGTAATTTTCGAAATTAACATATAATTAGGGTTAGGATACATACATTTATTGTTATATTGTAATAACAATCAAATCCTTGAAGATCTTGAACTTTGGTAGCAAGCGCCACAAGTGTCGCGCCTCTAATGGCTCACAAACAAACCTAGCAACCAAGGATTACTATGGAGAGAAAAGGGAAGTGGAAAATTCGGCCCTAGCCTCTCTTGGAGTGCCCTTAGACGAAATCCAACCCTATAGGGGTTTATATAGGTGATAAGGAAGGTTTAGGATAATGCAGATGTATCTTAGATATCTCTAATCCCTTAACTTCCTCCCTAAGGCTTCCAAGGCACCCTTAGAGCCCAAGGAAACCCTAGGACACTCTAGATTTCGTTCCATCCCTTTAAGGGAGGTTCTAGAATGCTCAATGCTCAACTTTTGAACATTGTCACTTTAGTCCCTACAGTTTCAATTAATTCTTTTAATCCCATAATTAATTCCAAATTAATTTCTGATTAAATATTAATTAAACAATATGATTTCTAATTAATATATTATATCCATAATACATTAATAAATTAATTTATTAACCAAGTAATAAATTAATAAATCATTTTTCTCTCTCCAACAATAATCTTATTTAATTGCCAGGTTTGAAGGCAACCCAAAAAGACATTGCTACTGTCAATTCAAGTACATACCAATTATATTTATGGGCTTAGACACCTAATCCAACAATTTTATGGATGTTACAGTCATGCTCAGAATACCGGTTTTTACACACCACTTTCCATTCCTGATGGCCCATGGGAAGAAGTTTCCATGGATTTCGTTCTTGGATTACCTAAGACAGCTAGGCGTAACAATTTCGTCTTTGGCGCGGTTGCTCGATTTTCAAAAATTGCACATTTTATCCCCTTTAAAAAGACAGATGACGCTTTTAATACAGCTACATTGTTTTTTTGCGAAGTGGTTTGTCTCCATGGTATTCCTTCCACCATTACTTCTGATCGAGACAATAAATTTTTTAGTCACTTTTGTCGTACCTTATGGCTTTTATTTCATACAACACTACAATATAAGACTTATTTTCATCCACAAATAGACGACCAAACGAAAGTTGTTAATAAAACTCTCGGTAAATTTGATTAGGAGTCTTTGTGGAGATAGGCCTAAACAATGGAATCACTTTTTAGCTTCATCCGACTTTGCTTTTAACAATATGGTAAACAAATCCACTGTTAAAACCTATTTCCAAACCGTTTACTAGCACCAGCCCAAACATGTTGTTGATCCCATTGCTCTTCCAAAACTATTGTGTCATAGTGTCGCAGCCGAACATCTCGATCAAAAGATGGAGGAAGTCCAACTTGAAGTTAAGAATCGTTTGACTGCCTCCAATGCCAACTACAAATATGCACGAGACAAAAGTCGTCGATAAAAGCTTTTTAATGTGGGTGATCTTATGATGGTTCATTTATGGAAGGAAAGGTTCCCAATAGGTACTTATAACAAACTGAAGATGAAGAAGATTGGACCTTGCAAAATCTTAAGGAAGATTAATGACAATTTTTATGTTGTTGACCTCCCTGGTCACCTCTCTATTCCACCTTCAATGTTGCGGATTTGACAAAATTCAAACTAGATGAGCCCTTATACCCTACCCCACACTCGATGATGGGTTTTTTTCAAGCGGGGGAGAATAATGGGGATCCGATTAGCCGGGAAAAGAAAGGAGTAGAGTACAAACAAATTATCTTTATTTTAATTGAGTCTTTTCTTTATTTATTTCCGGTATTTACTTTCTTAAATTATAAGTTTTAGAGTCCTAATAGGTTTATATTTTTGGTATATATATATATATATATATATATATATATATATATATATATATATATATATATATATATATATATATATATATAAGTTTTCATGTCTTATGTAATTTCATGCTCGTAATTTCATGGTTTTGATTGATTAATAAGAAAAGAGTCGAAGAAGGTTTTCTTCAATCTGAGCTACCTCAATTTGATTAAATGCATCAACAAAATTCGTTAAAGTTATTAAGTTGTGAATATGTTTAATTTTTATGTATTAAATTGTGGATGTGTAAGTTAGTAAACCGTGAATGTTTATTTTCTTTTATGCATTAAATTGTGAGTGAATGTCTGAAATATTGTATTAACCTGTGAATTAGTGTTTATAATTTTATTGAATACTGATTTCTCTATCCATATTTGATTTTTGGACGGAAGGATATCGAAGATGGGACACCGGTTGTTGGTGGTGGCGGTATGTGGTAGTTGGCACTGATGGTGGTAGAACTTGAGTCAGACTTCTATGAAGTTATGAATTAGTATATAATTAACTGTATTAATTTACGAATTTTGTGTATTAAATTCTGAATAACAATATTAAATTGTAAATGATTATTTATTTATTTTTTTTATAAAACTTGTGTTAAAATATAAATGAATATATGAATAAAAATATTAGACCGTAAAAATCATGATTTTTTATTTTTTTAACAAAAAATGACTACTTCAAAACTTTAATATATTTAACGAGTATTGAATATTCACACTTTAATAGCCATAAAATATGATTCTAAGGTTCTTATTATGATTCTTATTTGATTTTATATATATATATATATATATATATATATATATATATATATATATATATATATATAAAAGCAACGTTTTTAGCATATATTGTCTATAAATACACCCATTGGCCTCCCATTTTCTGTAACTCGTCTCATTCTTATCAGTCTCCTCTTCCTCTCTGGTGCGCAAGCTTAAACCAAAGGGAGTACTTCTCGCATAACCTCTTATACCTTTCGCAAGTCCAGTTGTACGTTAAGCATATCCAATTGTATATTATCAGTTGCCACAATGGAAGGAGGGATACATCCGGCGGACTCATCTGCGTTCCGCGAGTGTTTTTCGTTGGCATGGAAGAACCCTTACGTTCTTCGTCTTGCTTTCTCTGCAGGTATTGGTGGACTTCTGTTTGGTTATGATACAGGTAATCAGTCCCTCTCTCTCTATATTTTTTGTATCTTACTTCATTTCTTTGTCGATCTTGTGGTTGATAGTGTTGGAGGTGTGATTGTGTAGGAGTGATATCTGGTGCGCTTCTTTACATCAGGGATGACTTCAAGTCTGTGGATAAGAAGACTGTTTTACAGGTGAGTCCGCCATGTTGCCTAACCCTATGGGTTGTTACGATTACACATCATCCAAGATGGTCAAATAGTCAACTTAAATTATACACTTATACTATTATAAAATCAAGTATTGAAATAAATAACATTTAATTATGGTATTTTTTCGATGGATCATTTAGGTAATTGACATACCAATAAAACAGTTCCACGTCTAGACCTAATATTTAGGTTTAATCAATTATTTTTTTTACATTAATTGGTTCTGTTGATTTTTAAATATAGTAAATATTTTATTTCCATTTCTAATATGGGTGTTTGAGGAACGAATGATATGTTTAATCAAATGAAGAGCACTTAAATGGATGCATTATTTTGGTGAAATAAATATACTTAAAATCAATTTAATATTTGGAAATAAGTTACATCAAAGTATTTATTTTGATGTTTAAAGATAAGTAAAATATGACAATTTTAATTATTTAGTGAAAAGGATATGCACGACGTTTTTGTTGTTCTGTTGCACCGATCCCGTTTTCCATGGGATTCACATATATTCTCTAATAATTAAATTTTTATTATCTTTATTGATCCTAAGTTAAAACTAGAAAAGTATTCTCCCCTTGTTTTATTAGTTTGGATCCTAAAAAGATAAAATAGTTAATACAATTCTACTTAAAAATTATATTTTACGATATTGTTAGTTATCTTTTTAGTATTTTAATATTCTGGATTTATGTGGACATGACAAATTTGCTTCAAGAAAAACCGGATGATATCGTTTTCAAACTTACATTAATTTATTGATTCTTTGAATATTTTTCTATAAAAGAGTCCAAATTCGACACTTCAAGTGACAAAGAGAATCATAAAATAACTAACTATAATATTTTACAAGTTAGGAAACTAATAATTGTTATGTTTTAATGAAAATAAAATTAGAACTCATAAAATGACAAAATTACCCTTTTAAAGATAAAAAATGTCGTGTACTTATACGAGGCTATAATGATTTATTGTTATAAAATTATACACGATAATGTAAAATGACAAATTAACCTATGACCATACCCAATGATTGAGACTTTGAAAGGGTGAGGTGGGAAAAAAGCAAACCAGAAGCACGTATGACCTACCAATATTGAAGTGGGTTCTAGTCGCTTCGTTTTTAGTCGAAAGGTCAAAGTCTTCACTTGGAACTTTATGTATTGAAACCAAGCCAGTCAAATCTCAGATGGACCACTTTACCCCTTCCCTTTATTTAAGATATATCTGAATTTGTTGTTTACATTTAAATTATCACTAGTCTAGTAGTCTTATCTTGACTTATAAAGTTATCATGCCAAATTAATTTGACTATAGGGTTAACATTTGGAAATTAATAATAATTTTATTATTTGTAACATATTATATAAAACTCACTTGTAATTTTATTTATTTATTTCTTTATTATTTATTTTTATTTTTTTTGTTTTTTATGATGGTTTCAATAGGAGAGTATAGTGAGCATGGCGCTTGCAGGAGCAATCGTTGGAGCGGCGATGGGAGGGTGGTTAAATGATCGTTATGGACGGAGATTCGCACTGTTAGTTGCGGATTTCCTTTTCTTTATTGGAGCGATCCTTATGGCTGCTGCACCCAACCCCAGTGTTCTGATTGTGGGCCGTATCTTTGTTGGACTGGGAGTTGGAATGGCTTCAATGACTGCTCCGTTGTACATATCTGAGGCGTCTCCTGCGAAAGTCAGAGGTGCTTTGGTCAGCACGAACGGGTTCTTGATCACCGGAGGCCAGTTTCTATCTTACCTAATCAATTTAGCCTTCACTAAGGTTAGGCAAAACAATATACATTACATTATTGTTGTTTGCTTGTTTGATGTGACATGTAATTTAGTTAAAACATATATTTATGTTAAATAATTGATACTTTTTCTAAAATGAAACCAAAAGAAAACAATGGCTTTAACTATCTAATAACTTTTTTCATATGTATATGTTAACAAAAATGATTTATTAATTTCAATATGATATGATATTTGCATTCATGATAGTTTATACATATAAACATTGATAAAAAGTTCACTTTATTGTATAAATTAATAATAAGTTAAAGTTAAAACAGATTATTAAAGAATATTGGGTAGTTAAAGTTTACTTTCCTGTATACACAACCAACGTCAATGATTGCTTCAAAGAACCTCTTTTATATTTGGTGATTAAGTAAGCATGTGAAAAAGGATATAATGCCCCCACACCCCACCATATATCTTTTCCCCATCTTGTGGAAACAATCTACCATGGCCTCATTTGCAATGTGCCCCACGCAATCAACCTTACACCACATATACATGTACATGTGTATATATTTTCAATGCACCCATCATGTAAAGTCTCTTTAATTATGCTATATTTTTCAGAGGTATTTTGGTAATTTCACTTATTTTAATCACGTAAAACTAAAAAATTTCTTAAAATCACTTGGTCTAGTATGCTCTTCAGAATAATATAACTAAATTTAAGGGATATTTTTAGTAATTTCAATCTCTGCACATCTTTTATTAAAATTACCGCATTTAAAGAGTATTTTCAGTAATTATAATTCATCTCATATAAACATTCCTTATATTGCCTAAATTCATCTCGTTTTGTCTAATAAAATCTTTTCCATATAAAATATATTATTCAAGAAAACCCGTAATTTAGTACTTTAACATCTTTGGCTCATTATACATGTATTCCCCTGCCAAATAGCAATCATGAATTCCCTAAAGGCTAAAGTCGTTAAATATCACATGTTTTGTCGTTACCCTTTTTTTCTTTTCTTTTTTCTTTTCATTTTAGCAAATACAATTATTAAAAAACACAATATTTATTCTTTTCATTTTAGCATATACAATAACTAAAAAACACAATATTTATTCTCCTTATTTAGGCACCGGGAACATGGCGTTGGATGCTTGGAGTTGCCGGACTCCCTGCCCTCTTGCAGTTCGTTCTCATGCTCGCTCTCCCTGAATCCCCCCGTTGGCTTTACCGCAAGGTACATTTTTTATCAGTGACAGGATCCAGAAATTTCATCTGTTTAAAAAAATGAACAATAAAATATATTTCCAGTTTGTATTTAAATAAAAATAAAAAAATTTCACAAAACCATCATCAATAACTTTCAATTTATCCAAAATTCCAAATAGCTTAACAATTATATATATATATATATATATATATATATATATATATATATATATATATATATATATAACACTGTATGTATTGATTGTGACAGGGTAGAGAAGAAGAGGCGATAACGATACTAAGAAAGATATATCCGGCGAGTGATGTTGAAGCGGAGATCGAAGCTCTCAAGGAATCGGTGGAAAAGGAGATTGAGGAAACAGGGTCATCGGAGAAGATCAACATGATACAATTACTAAAAACAAGGACAGTAAGAAGGGGTCTAATCGCCGGAGTTGGGCTTCAGGTTTTCCAACAATTCGTCGGAATCAACACCGTGATGTACTACAGTCCGACCATCATTCAATTAGCCGGAATTGCATCAAACCAAACCGCCCTCCTCCTCTCACTGGTGACAGCTGGGCTCAACGCCTTGGGTTCGGTTGTCAGCATTTATTTCATTGATCGGATTGGGAGAAAGAAGCTGTTGGTGATCAGTTTGATCGGTTGTGTGCTCTCGCTAGGGCTTCTTTCCGCCGTGTTTCATGAGACGACATCACATTCGCCGCCTGTTAGTGCGGTGGAGTCCTCCCACTTCGGTAACATTACCTGCCCGGCTTTCTCTTCCGCCGGACCTTCTGCTACCTGGAGCTGTATGAGATGCTTAAAGGGTTCTGATTGTGGATTCTGTGCTTCACAAACTGATAAGGTAAAAACCATACTTGTTATTGACTTTTTTAGTCAAACAAACTAATCTTTAACTCCATAACTCGTACGAATCATTCAGTCTTTTCAAAATCTACAAAAAACGCTTTTGAGGAACAAAACTATAATCATTTCGAAGTTAACTTACCCTAAATCGTATCAAATGAGTTCAAAATCTAAATCATTTGACCTTCAAAAACTACGTTCTTTTTTCGCACAGCTACTACCAGGTGCATGTTTAATCGAGAACAAAAGCGTGAAGGACACGTGTCATGGTGAAGGCCGATTATGGTACACTCGAGGATGCCCGAGTCAATACGGATGGCTCGCACTAGTAGGTTTAGCTCTTTACATCATCTTCTTCTCACCGGGGATGGGAACAGTTCCATGGATTGTCAATTCCGAGATATACCCATTAAGATTCCGAGGTGTTTGTGGTGGAATCGCTGCTACATCAAACTGGATTTCAAATCTTATAGTCGCACAATCATTCTTATCGTTAACTGAAGCCATAGGAACTTCATGGACTTTTCTAGGGTTTGGGGTTATATCAGTCGTAGCATTGCTTTTTGTCATCATTTTCGTGCCTGAAACTAAAGGTTTACCTATTGAGGATGTGGAAAAGATGCTTGAGGAACGGGCTTTTCAGTTGAAGTTTTGGAAGAAAAGAACACCGGTTGTGAAGAAATCGGCGCCAGTTTGAACATAAAATAATGCATATTAATTTATGATGTTTGATGTTTACCTTATAGTAGGTACGTACGTAGATTATACTGCGATATTTAGCAGTGTTGAAAATTTGGTTTAGACTTTTGTAATAATAGATTATTAGAGGGATTGTGTTTTCTTGTTTTTAGGTGTTTGATGTGATGAATAGCGTTTAAGGAAGTGTCGTTTTGTGCACAGTGTAAGGGGTTTTATGATTGTGCCACAACACTTCTTTATCAAGTGTTATTATTCATCCACTCAAATACCCTAATATTATTATTACTTTATCGATTAATATAAAATGCATATTTATGGTGTTTGTTGTGTGCAATTTTTTCTGAATAATGTGCCGCGTATTGAGTACATTATCATCAGGTTGAGTTGAAACGAGTAATCCATCAAATCTGGTATCGACAGTGTGAGGCGTGATGCTATTAGGCCAAAGACGCTTTGATTTGTATTAACGGTTTACAGTTTGGTTTTAATTTACATTCAAATAATCACTGGTTTTGATTTCTCTATGAAAACATATGATATAAACTTGAATACGATGTAAAGTTGTTTAGAATTTGTTTGTATTGTCTGCTTTCTCGATTTTATATTGGATTAGTATAAGTATTCTTTGTTGCTATCATGCTATATATGAGAAACCGTTGCTTCTAGAGAAACATGTTTAAAAGGATACGTACGGAGATAACGATGTGACCCAGCAAAGTGATGGTAAAAAAGAAAAGTAAAGTGGAAAGCTTTGTGGCCCAAAAATTAAAGAAAGGTGTGGCTACATTTGGCCGTTGCTAAAAGTGGCAAGTTGAGTGTTGCCAGAGTGTTTACTAGTAGATAGATTATTTGGGACTTTTAGTAGTATTGAATATTTGAATTAGAGCTTAATAAGAGGGATTGTATTTTGTGTTTTAGGTGTTTAATGTGATGAATAACGTTCTAAGGAAATGTCTTTCCGTGTATAGCTAAGTTTCCTTATTGGGTTGTTATGCTCTATGCCCAAAAGAGTTATTTTCATTGTTTATTCATCGCGTGATATACCTTAATATTACTTTATCTATATCTATAAGTATATAATGCATACTTATGATGTTTAATGCTCTTATAGTAGATATGTTATTTTGCAACCATCATTGGTATCCAAAATTTAAATTTGACTTCAATATTAAATATTAGGCCATCGAGAATACTATCCACGCCCCTGACGGGTTTTCTTGCTAGATAAGCAAGAGGGAAGCACCACACCCGCTTTGGGGTACTCCCAATGCAACCACTGAGAGAGGAGAGGAGGGAGAATCAAGAGAGAAATAGAGAGAATGCACGACATGGCATAATGTGGTACAGACCATAGTTCACAACGACCGTGATGCCATGTAAGCACAACGCCACCCCCAAAGTGTTGTGCACGATCATGGCATCCATGTCACCTGGCCTCGTGCCATGTATACCCCATGGCTTTAAAGGGTTGTATTTTCGTGTTTAAGGGGTTTGATGTGTTGGATTGGTCCTAACGCTCGGACACGTTAACAAAATTAGGATCGGTTTACAACCACATACATTGATAAACCGTGAAAACAAATTTTCTAGTGTAAAGTAATAAAAAAATTACAAAATTATACAGTTTGTCCCTTTGGCTTGTCAAAATAGACTGACTAGGTACATCTAAGACACTATGCGCTTAGTTCTTATTTTTGAGGTTTTGCATGATCCGTCCTTTAGACGCATAAAATTACTTTTATAATATTTTTTTATTTATTTTATCTTTTTTTAACTAGTTTTAATTTTAGAAAATAAAACCAATTAAAAATTATCTCCATCCCATACCCAAACCTCACACCCCATGACCAACACCGGAGCCAATCTAGGCGTCGCATCCCACTCTCACTAGCTCCTTTCTGCCAATAATCACCGACCATTGGTGACACTACCTATCGTTGTCGCTCTTTCCAATCTCTTTGTGAAGACCGTACCTCCACCAATCTTATCCCTCTCGCTGCTCTCTCCCGATCTCATTTTCTCGTTTCCCTCTCTTTCTTCGAAAAAGAAAATTACATAATCGAAGGAAAACCTTGGTACTATAAGAAAACGAAGATGAAGATGAACAATAACAATAACAATGGTCTCAACATTTATGTCCTCGGTCCTCTTGCAATATGTCACTTTCTCCTCTCAAACACTGAATATTCTCTCTTGCTTGAGTGAAATTGTTTTCATTGAATGTGTATCAGCTCCGCTGATCACCAAACCTCTAATGGTAACAAAAAAACAAACAAGCACAGATTAAATCAATACATGTGAACTGATGACAAAGGATGAGTATGAACTCGTTGTTTGACAAACCGATCCGAACCTTATTTCTTAAAAACCCTAAAACCAATAAATAATAATGAAACTGTAACACCCGTTTTTTGTATAAGTATCGGCTGCAAAGTTATGTATTTCATGGAAGTAAGGACGTGGGGATTTGGTTCTACGTGACGTGTGTATATATGGTCTGCGGCGCGTCCCTTAGTATGGTACATGGCTTACGACTCGCAATCAACACAAAATCTTTGGGCCTCATCCTTTGGGCCCTATTTAAAGGCTCTAACTTTAGGGTTTCGTCATTTTTGCCCCCCTTTTGTCATAATTTCATTGGTGTTTGGAGAACTCCTAGTCCAAATGTGGTTTTGGTTAGTATTTTGGACAATTATCATAAAAAGAAGCGAGTTTTGTCTTTCTATTTGTACCATGCTTGAAGTTTGTAACATTCTAACGCAAGTAAGTTTTCTCACTACACTATATGTCACATTATATGTCCAATGTATGGTAGGATGAATATTTTCTGTTAATGTACGACTATGTGATAGACTATGATAGTCTTGTGTTAGTATATGTTAATATTGGTAGATCGTTAAGTGAATGTCGTATGGGTTGTACGTAGCTAAAACTAGATAACATGAGGACTCTTGGTATGTCCTTATTACATGGTCCTTGCATGGTTAATTTCTCTCGATTAGGAACATATGTTCGACTGGGTATCTTATTGTCTGCTACATATAACTATGTATTCAAGAAGAGATTTGTCATTATTAACAGAAACTTTGTTATGGTTGTAGGTCGATTGATTGATTGTACGGTGCATGTATGTATCATGTTTGAGGGGTTGATGACGGAACATTGCTAGGCTGCAAGTCTAGATACCCAGAGTACTTGACGGAACAAAGCTAGATTGCGAGTCAACTGTTGATCTTGTTTGAGGGGTGATGACAGAATGATGTTAGGTTGGGAGTCTAGATACCCAGAGGCATAAACGGAACGAGGATATGATGTAAATCAACTGTTAATCATGTTTGAGGGTTTGATGATGGAACGTCCCTATTGATGGATTTTGATAAGCTAAAACGATCTTTTTTATAAAAACAATTTTAGTGGCAAATGGAAGACTTTAAAACTAACTAGTTTATTTTTAGATCATTTTAACAAAACCACCAAGAGGATCCAAATACATGAACTAAAAAGATAATAAAAACCATAGGAAGTTAATGAGATAACATTTGAAGCCTTTAATCCCATTTGGAATTGGGGAGTTGAAGAAGATAGCAAAAGAACAAGAAGATTGAACTTCTCTACAAGTATCCACCATCAAGAGTAAGGCACTTGCAATGCTAGTTCCCATCTTGTATGAAGTACTTCTTAGTCCTTAAGTGCTTAACACAATTAAGCACTAAAGGAGAAGCGCTTTAAGACACCAATACTTGTATCTAGTCTTTAAAAGAGAACAACAGAGGAGGAAAAGAATGCTCTCGTCCATGAGGGATTTTCTAGGGAAAAAGAGTTCATATTTTGCAAGCATTACTCCTCTTTAAATAGTCACATGCAAGTCAAAATCCTACACCATATAATATTACAAAGTAATGGTCTAGAAGGCAAGCATGGGGAGCAAAGGAGGGAGGTTGACAAGAAACCTCCCATACTTCTAAAAAGCTACGGTTTTAAGGAGTAAGAAGGAGACAAAATGTTGTCTAGTTTCTCCAACTAAAGAAGCTAACCAACTAGTCTATTCATAAAGTAACCAATGTGTCCAAAACATTTGTACGTGAGTTATTAAATTATAATATATGATATAATAACTAGTTATACTCTCTTTAATTATTATTTTCACAAAACAATAATTATTCCCTAATTAAATATAAGAGTTGATTATATTTATTAATAATAATATTAATAATAAACATTCAAAAATGTGGCAACTTGATAAAGGTGTGACCCTATAGGATCATATGTTATTAGCAATATCATTCAATAATAAATCTTGAGCATATAGATCAAACAATCTACCAATTCATTACAAATTGACATAGAAAGTAGTTGGCATCTATCAATGGACTACTGCCCCTAACAACACACGAATGGGTGTCATCTCATCAACAACGAATTCCAGGAGCTTAGAGATACAATTGTTGCTAAAGGTGTGGTATCAGTTATTCCTTTATATCAGACATCATGTTGAACATGAGATATGGATCACGATCAATCTCATGTAGTGTTAAACTTGTAGTAAGGCCTTAGATGTCTAACTCTTAACGAATAAGAGGAACAAATCCCATCTTCACTACATACATCTATTATGTAGTTCATGTTATACCCAATGATGGCCCTTATAACTGTCTTTTACAGAACAATGTTAAGCCATGTCAAAGCACAACAATTCCTACATTCAAGTCCCAAATATGTATCCCAGGTCTAAGAATACAAGGATACTACCTTGATCAAAATACCACTCATGACTATGATCCACAAAGTGATTTTGATGTGGGTCATGTCCAATAGTTATTCTCTAATCAAGTACCTATTAATTTGGTCGTAGCTCTTTGCATTTTTCATCTCCTTGAAAATCAACCAATTCATTCATATTAGTCTTACCTCATAGGTGCTCCTACAATTATGAACAACTATGGACATTTAGAATAACCAAGTTATTCAAGGATTAAACATGCTATTATTTAATACAACAAGTATTTAATGAATAGAATATATCCAATATATCAACTCATTACAATATATGTTGCTTGCACTGTTCCATTATCCAAATACTAAATTTCAATCATTTCCAATTACTTAGAACAACAAGGTCGTATAACACCAGCTTGACTTTTATGCTTTAGCTAATGAAGGAACTTAGTTACGTAGATTCGACAAACTTGATGTGTATAAACTTTGAGAATACCAACATTTGCAGTGATATATATATATATATATATATATATATATATATATATATATATAT